CGCACCTCGGCTAAGCCTCATTGGTCACGTTATCGCCTCTGCGCAAAGCTGACACTTCTGTAGGAGAGTAGAGTGCGATATCGCGACGAATACAATGGTGAATGGGTTTGTTGAGGTCGTCGTAGAGAAAGAAAGATGCTCTCCCGATCACTGTTATGTTCACTGAAGATCAATGTTAGGGTTGGATTGCCATCCTGGTTCGGGTTTCGATTTGAGCGCTATCAAAAATCGCCCATCGTTGTGATATAGATGAAATCACTCTAAATCTCCTTAAAATGTGTCATCCAGGAAACGCAAATCAATGCGAGTAAATACTCTAAATATCGCTCTAAATATCCTAATATCCATGAAATCGCTCTAAACATACCTAAATTGTGTCAGTAAAGATAACCGAGCCACAGTTCAGGTAGTCTAGCAAAAGTGATTTTGCATCAAATTTTATTGTGTTTCAAAGAATAAAAAAAAGCCCATGTGCTCAGCCCATTCATGAGCCATTGGTTGCGGAAATTTGTAGTCGAACGAATGAAATTTTGACGCGTTTCGTGGATGACACATTTTTGGGATTTTTGATCACTAAAACAATCACACGAGCGTGATTCAAAATTCTCCACCCTCAGATGTAACTTGTTGCTATCTATACTTCTTTTGTGCGTATGGATCATATCCTTTCATATCTATACTGAAAGACTGAACTCTCCATATCGTTTCTGTTTTGGCCATTACAGTTTGTGTACAGATAGGGGCGATGATTTGATGGGGTTAAGATTTCAGTACGCAGACACAATCGTGTGCTCTGCGAGCCCAAAAGCGCAGAAAATAGATCAAAGAACTAATGACGCTACACAGCGAACACGTGCACAGTTATTGGCTAGCTGAATTATGAAACAGCCAAAATTTTTGGATTCTTAAAATTCATTCGTTGTCGCGACAATTTTTGCATGAAATGCAAAAAAAGTCTATGTTTTCCACTTTCCACTGTCATTCCTTCACATATCTGCTTATGTTTTAGGAAGCACATATTGTACAGAAATCTGCCAGACAAAATGAAAGAAGAGCCAATTCGATATCGTCGCAAAATTCGTTCTACCAAATAAACGTCCGCATGTTTCGTCGTCTTAACAGATGTTGGTGCATTGTAGCGATCATTGCGATAGAACAAAACAGCGAAAAGAAAGAAAACTTTATCTTCGTTAGAAGAGAATGAAAGTAAGCAGCAAAGGAATTTCGCTTTGTCGCGATATCTTCAGAAATAAAGAAATTTTATCTTCATTAAGCAAAATGAAGACAAAATGAGACAAACACCGACGAATTTTCAAGCGTACACAGTTGCTAATTCCATCCATTTTTGATGCAGATTCGAGAACAAAAGGAATTGCTACAATCTCGAACCCAGCCAAAATTATCAGTTCAATTAATACTAATCAATCGGATTACCACCGTAAACATCACTTGAGTACTTCAGTATTTCATCACCGTCGATTTTCTCAGCAAACATCGTAGCTTTCATTCATCAGAGAATTGAAAAAGAAAACTCAGTCGAAAGAACGTGCAGTATGCAGTCAAAGCATCACTTTAGTTCATTTCGTCATGACTCTCATCGGGTGGCGTACGGAACCTTTTGAAAATTCATCTACGTTTGCCTTATGAGAAAGGTAAGTGGAAGGAAAAATAGAACAAGATGTACGACTCTTTTCTTTAACTGTCAGCCAAATCTAGATGAATCTAAAGAAGTTTTAATAAATTTCGATCACTAAAGTCATCCACTATGGTTGTCTTGCTCCACTCTTTCAGTTCCACGCATGCGGAACCGACACATTTATTCTTATTGGTAGGTTGGAAGTGTACTGCAACTGCTCGCCTCTCTTGAAGAAGCCAAGATTTTTCACAAACGAAACGCTGGCACTTCGATAGATTTTGAATGCGAACAACGTTGAAAGAGACAAAATGATCGGTTGACAGGGGATCGTTAGATTCTGAAATGAAAATGAATCCGTAACTGTATAAATGACCGAACAAGTGACTGTCTGATGGAATCTGGCTGCCGTTTCGCATCCATCAGCATTTGAATGATGCTGTCACAAATTGAAGTTCTCAGCAAAAACAGATGAGTGAAACCGACTCGAAGGAGATGGATATCAATCAACGACTCGTTGATAGCTCCTTGCAGTAACTTACCACACTGTAGCCGTTAAAAAATTTTTGAAGTTTTTAAAAAAGTTCTCTTTTGAATTGGCAAAATGATCATACAATCGAATCAATGAAGAACTTTTTCGAATTGCGCTCCACTGGAAAACGTTTCTCGTGCAAGTTTGGTTCTATTCCGATTCGCTGTGCTCATTTCACAATCATTTTATTATATTCTTGCATGCTCTTGAAAAAGTGGACCCTTCTTAAAGCGAAAAAGGAATTTTGAACTCAGAGTACGGGCTGTATTGGTATCATGGCTAGAATATCAGATCCAGCTGAAACACACTGATTAACGATGACAAAAATGAACGATGAGTCTAGCGATTAACTTCAAATTGACAAACTTCACTCACCCGCAGTTTCAAAATTGTGTAATATAATGCGAACAATGAATTTTTTGTAGGAAAATTGTATGACAGAAGAAGAGTAACGTAGCCAACTGAAATTACAATGACTTATGATTGAAATACAACCCAATATAACTTGAAGAATCCACGCAGATTAAGAATCAGCATATTATTAGAGTACTCAGTCTTTTTGCTTTATGTTTCGATGAAACAAATGTTAAGTCTTACGAAAGAGGGGAAGGTTTGAGATAGACGTCGTTACGATGTACATCACTGTTGATCTAAGCATGACCGCGCGTTTATTTCTCTCTTGATTTTGGCTCATCGTCAGACTACGATAATATTTGATCATACTGAACACTGCCTGAAACATATTTGAGATGAATTCGGCTGTTGCGGCCCGATTAATATAAATGAAATGCGTGATTGCTAATTTTCAAGCTGAAACCGAAAAGAAAGAATAGTTAGTGATCTAAAGTTGAATTGCTTGAACCGCAGTTGATATATTCCAACGGAAAAAAATCGCCTTTCTGCATTCTGAACATTTTGAACCTTAGAAGACGAGTGGCAATGCAATAATCTCACCATGGCAGAAATAATGATCAGTGATAAATAGGTGACAAGGTAAGCGTGTGTTCGTACAATCAACGGATATGAACCCAACACTGCAGTTTCGGTTGCTTGATAGATCGCTAGTGTGACAACAAACAGATCGATCGACCAGAAATAAAACTTCCAATAGCTAAACGAAACATGATCGATTTAATCGCAATTGGTATTTTCTATTAAACCAAATTTCAGCAATGATACCATGATCAATTGGCATTTTCTGACTACTTTATTCAATGGCACAGTAAATATCAGTTTTTTTCCAAAGCAATGGCGGATAAACCGAAGCAATTTTCCATCCAGTGGAGTCAGAGATCCTATACATCTCAACTTCGTGATTGGGACAAGGCTGAGAGAGTTTACCAAATCCGTTAAAGTTGATTCATTGAAGGATGTTTTAGAATGAATGAAGAACCTGAAATTGAAAAATCGATTATAGGACATTGGATACGCGAAGAGAGTGTAGACTGACGTCAGAAACAGGATAGAAAGCAGTTGGAATGACATAGAGCTGAGGAAAGCTGTGAATAAGGTGAAATACTGCAGGATTATCCTGTAAATAAAAAATGAAACATATGAGTCAGCAAAAAGTAAAACTCAATTCAGACGGCCGTGAACTAATGGAAAATTCAATTTGATTCGCGATTCTTATGGTCACAATA